AAAAAGCCGTGAGTTTAGTATCAGGGGATCCATTTGGAGAAACTATCCCACTTGTGGAGCAGGGGCTACTCATACCATGAGGAGACTCGTTCGCCTTCATCTCACACGGCTATGGCTGCTCTCTGTAAGATAGCTTTTATTTCTTTTTGTTTTCTTTGGAGACACACTTGGTCTAACACAATACGTGATAGAATAGGCAAATAACAACAGAGAACAATAGGATGGATCTGTAACCTTATTATGTGATATAGGATGTGTAAGGCATTGAAAAGAAATACTTAAACAGAGGTGGCAGATATGTGAACACAAGACCGCACCCTATCTCGAAGAGAAACAGCTAAGGGGTGCTAGAGGGTAGAGCGATAACAGAACATATCTTGAGTAAATACAAGTGCGGGAAGCTAACCGGCAGTTCACTGTATTAATTTGGAAGTACGCTGCATATAGTATCCTTGGTTACGTAGATAGCCACTGCAAACTACTAGTATTCAGTAGACACTGTGTAGAATAAGTTTATACTGGCTACGGTGTAAAGATCGGAAACAGCAATGGATCCCCAAGATGATAGCCAATAAGAGGAAGCGAGTTATTCATGCACTGCTATATTGGACTTGCTGTCTTGATGCAAGTTTTCCTTAGGAGTCGGACTCAGTGAATATTTCAATAAAGGCAGATCTTAAAGTGCGCCCACTACACAACTTTATATACACCAGAAAAGGCAAACGCCCGCGTTATTCATAAAGATGAGAACACATTCTACTGGGAGATGCAATTTTCTCGGGGTATATACAACAGGGCCACTTAACATCAGGCTGGAAGCGAGAGCATTAAAAGGAACAAAGAGTAAAGAATCTTTGGGCGGGAGTGTAGGTGAACTCAGGTGCCAAATGTTGCGAACAAATGATTGATCTAAAAATTCTGTACATAGTCATCTGATTATATTGGCTCACAACCTTCTTCCTTTTCCAAATATACTTGGATTTATAGCTTACCTGGCAGTTTTTTGTTCCAAAATCGAATGGTAGAAATAGTTATCTAGTGTATGGAACAGTATAGAAATATGACAGCTGGTTAAATGGTAGGGAAGGGTCCAGGGGTAAAGAATAACATAGAAGAAAAAGAGTACTAGATATTTGGTGCACTATTACTAGTACCACAGTGTATGTACACTGCACAGCACACTAGTAGTATACAGCACTTTATCTCAGCAAGCTCGGCTCCTGGATTGATCAGTAGAATTACCTATCTTACGGCCTCTACCAGGCAGTCCACTAATCAATAAGCAGCCGCCTATGTCTTGTAGAGGGCTGAGAAATCAATGTTCCACCTTCCTAGGCGCGTATTTTGTTTTGTATATGAATAAGATCGATATTTTTGAAGCTCTATTTTTACCACTAAATCTATATTTATTATTAAATAAACTACGGAGTACATAGTTATATGATATGTCTATATTATAGATTGGTACCTAGACATTGTACCCCTATAGAGCCTTGAGACGTTTTTTAATAGTAAAGAAGTTATAAGCCTTCTAAAAATTCGAGACTTTTTAGTAGATGCCTTAAGATGAATTAGATTTTAGCCAGTAACTCTGTTAACAACGACCCCCCTCCTTCTTTTTTGAACTAAATATCTTTAGGTTTAATCTTGAATTTCCTAGCTTTCTTTACTCCGGCGGTTGTTTCAATATTTAACCAATTTTAAATAGAATTTATGCCCCCTGACTATCTAATAATTATCGTTAAGTATTTCGGTCAAAGTAATATCAACTTATGATTCTAAATAATTTTAGGCCGGCTGTGCTATTAAATGCTGACATTCAATTCTTAGATTGCTTGATAAGCATACATACGTATAGTTACAGAGAGGCGTTACAGTTACCGGGGGGGTCAGACCTACCCCGACTCCCTCGGAGATCTACCGCCTTGGTCACATGATATGACCTGAAAGGGAGTCAGAAATTAATAAAAATCACGTGAAGAGTCAGAATTATTCTCTGACCCCTCCGGAGCTGTAAGCCTGATCATAGATGTAGCAGAACCCCCCTGAGTTCGCTGAGGTAAACAGCACATAGAACTAACCAGGTTAATGACACTATACCCTAAATAGTAAGGTTAGATTGTTGCTGAGGTAGACTACTCCGTACAACAAGCTAGTTATCCACATGCCTTGTCCTAATAGGTATAGTACACTACGGACGGAAGTACCAAGGTACAAACAGCAATCAGTTGGGTTATCTCTATACTGCTGTCCTTCATCTTGTTCACTTCTCTGCACCCCACTTCTTGCACATGTCCGAAATATTTGACGCCTAAATTAAGCTATCACCATGCCTTCTATGGTTTCTTCTCGCAATGAATCTGCATATGTTCTAAATCAGGTCAGAGCCAGAAAATGAAAGTTAGTGGCCACTCTAATTCGTCTGGACTTATCAGATTATCATATCACCTTCAGATACGGATTATCTCGACCAGTTGATTCCTTCAATAAAGGAATATAGCGTGGGGAATCGAACTCCACAGTTACTACAGTCCTTGTCTACGTTTGCTAGCGATAAGGAAGCTGAAATAGAAACCATCTGTAACACCAATCACCAAGAATTCGTCACATCAGTCAATCAACTCCTCCGTATCAGGGAAGGTACTGTGAGCCTAACAGCTGAAATCTTGGACCTAAATCAATCCATTCAAGCTAGTACTGAAAAGCTAGCTGAACAGAAGAGAGCTCTAGTTGAATCACGGAGTCACCGTCAAAATATTGATGAAACCTCCCGTGCTATCCAAGATTGCTTGGAGGTTCTCCGCCTCGCGAACCAAATTCATGATTTATTAGCGAGGAAAAACCATTATGCAGCCCTTCGAGCCCTTGATGAGCTCCAAAATGTTCACCTCAAGGGCGTAACCAAGTACAAAATCGCAGACATCATTCAGCGCTCAGTGCCAGCAACTCAAAAGGCCATAGCTGAGGCAGTGATGTCTGATTTAAACACTTGGTTGTACAGAATCCGCGAGATGTCGCAATATCTTGGGGAAATTGCCTTGTATCATACAGATCTCCGTAAAACGAGGCTGAAGGAGAGGGCCGAAAAGACGCCATATCTTGGCCATTTTAAATTAAATTCCGCCATTGAGCTTGTTTCTGATGAACATGAGGAATATGACCTCCTGCAGAATGAGGAACTACAAGTCGACTTCACGCCGCTGTTTGAATGCCTACACATTCACCAATCTCTTGGACATATGGATAAGTTCAGGATTGAGTATGCCAATACACGTCGTCGGCAAAAGGAGCTATTGATACCTGCATCAATAACTCTCGTTGACGAGGATGGCGCAAGTCTACATAATCTTCTCGAAGAGATGGCAGGGTTTGCGATTGTTGAACGATCTACAATGAAGAGAGTGCCAGAATTGCGATCTCCAGTCGATGTGAGCATTATCCCTTGTACATGTCTTTGAGACAAGAAACGTAACTAATTCTTAATAGGTAGATGAACTCTGGGATTCTATGTGCCAAACAGCTGTGAACCTGATATTGAAGGCTCTTCCAGAAGTCGATAATGCCGAGAATTTGCTGAAAATTAAGAATCTGATTGCACTGTTCATGCAAACAATGAATGTCTGTTTCCCCTCTGACTCATTCACCCCACTAACTGACGACACTAACATGATTAAATGTAGAGTTGGGGTTTCCCTGTTGGTGTCTTTGACAACTTCTTGCTCACTCTCTTCAAGAAGTACGCTGAATTGCTCAAGAAAAGGTTCAGTGACGACTTTCAAGAGGTATTTTTGTTTCCGCCTTAATACTACTTGTCGCTGTACTCAAGTCATCAAAGATTGTATCCACAGATGATTATATGCCTATGCCCATCCAGACGCTGGAGGAGTTTGACAAAGTACTCAATGTTAGCTGGTACACGCCTGAGAAGCCACGGGAAGAACAAACGTACGTTGACACACCTGGTCCTCACTTATTTTGACTCATCGACACTAACTTGTTATTCCAGTTTTCCATGTGTCTTGCCATTTTCTCAGATGTATCCCTTATGTTGCATTGATATTCGGAATTTTTTGAATCAGTTCTACTTCTTTGCCAACGATGATTTCTCCCACTCAAGTGTTATCGACGAATCTCTCAAAGATGTAAGTCTAACATAGGTAAATGCCGCAAAGGATGCTCACCAAACATGGCTAGGCACTCGATGAACTTCTTTCAAGCAAAGTTTGTGATACATTGGTTGAACGCCTTGCTTCTCAGTATTTGGGGCAGATCGTTCAGATACTCATTAATCTGGAGCATTTTGAACTCGCTTGTCATGAACTCGAAAATCTCCTTGCAGCAGCGAGGTCTCACAATTCCATGGGTGGTCCCATCACCCTCAAAGCCACCGAAAAGTTCAGGAACAATAAAAAGGCGGCAGAGAAGCGTATTTTTGAGGTGGTCAACTCCAAGATTGACGACCTCATTGAAACCGCAGAATATGACTGGATGGCTCCTGTTTCTCCTACAGAACCGAGCAACTACATGCAGACTCTAACCCGGTTCTTATCCAATATAATGAATTCGACATTGCTCGGGCTCCCCACCGAGATCAAGGAACTTATTTACTTCGATGCTCTTAGCCATGCAGCAAATATGATTATTGTGCGCACTTTAGAAAGCCTGTATTATTTTTCTTAGACTCTGCTGACCTTTCGTCTTAGGCGCTTCCTCTTGCCGCAGATGTAAAGAAGATCAACCCGAACGGTGTCATGGCTCTTGCAAAGGATGTTGAATATCTCTATCACTTTGTTGATAGTCTTGGTGTACCTATCCTCCGGGAAAACCTCGATGAGCTCCAGCAAACTGTGCAGTTGATGCAGGCGGATAATACTGATGAGTTTTATGATATTTCTACTCGGAATAAGAAGTATGGCCGCGTGGACGCCATAAACGGCCCAGTCCTACTGGAAAAGTATGTTTTCACAAAGCCCATAATAGCCAGACATACTAACCTATCCAAGGGTGGTTCGCTCTATTCAAAGTCCCGTGAAGACTGACAAATTCACGACACTTTCTTCGAGATTCGGAAAGAAATCCTAGATAGCCCCCATAACTGGGCTTGGGTAGACTCCTCATAAAAGCAGGCGCGGGATGTAGGATAGGAGAAATGTAAAAATATACCTCCTTTCTCAACGCGTATTGGAATGAGATGATTTATGGTGTATTTGGAGTCTGACTACACCAAATAATTACGTTACCATATCTTTTCAACCGTTTAGACAAATAAACATCACCAGCCTGTCACTAAAATAACTCCATTATGAAGATCAAAGCCCGAGTCTCGCAAAATAAGGAACTACAAAAAACCAAATGGGTAATGTACGCTTCTAACGCGCCTCGATCACTTTGAAGTAGGAAATTATGATTAGCCGGACAGGATTCGTCAAGGGTAATTCTGCGTTAAATTATCCCACAGAAGTATGAAAATGAGGTCTTCGACATACCTGCTGAGGCGGTAAGTGCGGGTAAGCGGCATACATTCCTTCAAACATTTGAGATTGCGGCTGGCCATATGCTGCAGTCGGATCCGATTGCACAGGTCCCGCATACATAGCTGGTTGACGATATTCTTGGTCTTGAAGACCATGCTGGCCCAAACTGTAGTCGGGGGGGGCCATGTGATGTGAGGGGTGCTGCACTCCGTGTTGAGATGGCGGAAGTTGTCCTGCAGCGCCTGTAGGCCCAGGGGCCCCTGAAGGTGCACCTGCTGCCTGACTAGATCGCTTTGCGTGCGACGTGGCCTCCTCACGGGGAACTATGTCAATGAGAAAATCGAACATGTCGGATTTTGAGAGGGCTGCAGCAATATCTGATCTCTGCAGAGTGCGCCGCTTGTTGTCTTCGGCATGAATCCAAGCTCGCATAGTCAGCTCGGTAATGAATATATCACATCCTTTAGCAAAGAGGATTGGTGCCTCGGCTGAAATCATTTTCACCTCTGGATCAGCTTTCATGACCTTCTTGATACGCGCCAATGGCAATTGGTGGATTTTATAATCATGGTTGTCTGATTCGAGGTGGTTGATGATATGTTGCCAATATGTTGTCAGAATATCACGAGCCGTCCCTTGCAAGCCTTGATTGACCTGGTCCACATTAGTACTCTTTTCTGGAAGCATCTACTTGAATGAAACAATACCCACATTCGCCCAAGTACCTGTATAAAGCTCAGCTACAGGCGCATATCCCTGTGCGGAAAGCTAATACATGACGAGTCAGGCAACTACAGACTTGATGAGTGCATCTACAATTCTTGTTGGTAGGACATACCGCTGCGCTAGCACCTGTACATCCAAATTAGTGTGGTGTTTGCTGATGTGCCTCTTAGAATCAAGTAGAGAGAAGTGTTCTTTAATAAGAAGAGACCCGTAGGTTTTGAGGGATGATTACCATAGTGTCCACCGTTTCTAGTATCATACACAGGTTGCTGTCTGCCCTGCTGCTGGCTAGCACTTTGGGTGGATTGTTCCATGGCTATAGACTCTTGTATAGAACGGTTGGTCGGCCACAAGCATGCACTGATGATATATTTTGGACTAGGCTGGTATCGGATATGGTGGGAGGTCTGCTTTCGTGGATTGTTGAGCCAACAGCTATGACGATGAACAAATGGATTTTGAGATGAGCTGCAGGGTTTTAGCCAACTAAAATACTTATTCCACGGTTGTCAGAGGCTATGTAGGAGAGGAGTAATCAAATAAATTAGAGAAGGCGGCTGCTGCGTGGTCGGACGAGAAGAAGATGAGGTTGCGCGCGGTACTGTCCAACGAGTCGCCTGAGCAGCAGTAGCGCGTAGGCAAGCGCCCGCTAAGCGTGACGTTTTGCAAAGTACCTCAACGCGGGGAATCCGCCACCACGACCACCAACAATAATATGAAAAACAGCAAAGTAGTAAGGGAAAAGGCAAATGAATAAAAAGTTTGCTGCTTTATATAATTACTCTGTGTATGGTTTTGTTATATCGGCAGTGATACAGTTTAACACGTATTCCAACGACCCGCCCCAAATTATTGAGGATTGACAATTTGATCTTGCACATTGTTTCCGTATTGTATTATGGCTCTACCTACTGTACTGGGTATACACAGTACTGTCTATCAGGTGAAGATATGGCGCAACTTATATGTATGATGTACTCCGTGGTATATCAAGAGTACATGCATATCTTTGGCTGTTCGTGGGTGCTAGAACTCGTATAACACGGATATCTATAGCTTTAGTTAAACGACTACAAAACATATATGTAAATGGTGTTGGCTGCAATCCTCTACTCTTGCCTTTACACACGATATATAAAGATAAACAAAGACTGAATCCATACACCTGCAAGGAGACAGACAGAGAGAAGTTAAATGAAGAAAGAAAACTAATAAAGAAAAATACAGAATAACCCCCTTCTGGAATAAGCTCCAAATGACACAAAGAGCGCCTAGCATGGTAGAGACATGGAAGGCTAACCATGAGGTCTGCTCCTATACCCTGCAGATTAGGAAAACTGGGGGTGATTGAACACAGATCTAGGTATCCTCCTGAAATAAGTAAAGAAGTGACCTTTTCGCCATTGTTCTTTACTGGTTGGATTGTCAAATGCTAAAAGATATCGTAAGAAGTGGATATTCTGGGGCATTTATTCTACACACTCATGGTGCCTTTCGTCATTCTCTCAAGACCATCAAGTAACTAAGGGAACTTACCTAGTTAGTGCTAGTTTGGTTTTCTACCAGAGCAGCCCCACACAAGAAAATTTGCAAACAAAAGCAGACTAGTCCGCCTATATAAATACCATCTGAAAATTCCAAATCACTTCTTTTCTTTCTCTATTTTATTCCTTCTCCCTTCAAAGCCCACACAACATCTCACTTGTTTCCCACCATATTCCTCTAGGACTGGAGGACATGGCTCAAACAACATGTGGTGAAGCTGGGGCCATCAACGCTCACGAAGAAGTCGATATCACAGACCATGATATCGAGCAGCTACTTTTCGAGGCGGAAGGCCGATTACGTGCTCAAGATTTGAACTCCACTAACATCCCTGCTACCAGAGAGGTATCTGGCGATCGGCCCCAGCACACTTTGTTAAGGTATGTAAAGCTTACTAGAATATTTCCTGAGATACCTTACAAGCAAACATGCATATGGTTTAGAATCACAGCTGATGTATAAGAAAAGCATTCCTAGGTTGTCCTCTGATTGTTCCCTGCAGCCTTACGTCCTGCAGAAAGGGGATCTTGCGACAATCGATATCACACGCGTCAAGAACGTGCAGGATGCAAATAATGGTCTTGGCAACAAAGAGCCCAAGCAACCGGAGGTGAAGAAGGTAAAACGCACCCCGTTCTCATTACTGCCTATTCCCGCTATTGCCATGAGGAAAATTATCCCTTCGCATAAGCACTTGATACAGCTTCAACAGCCCGTACTGGGCTGCGCTGTGCCAATGAGAGCCAAATTTTCATAGTTACTCTGAGCATCTTTGCCAAACAACTGTCATTATAAATTACCCAAGCTGGATTGAGAGCTAACAATATGTCTGTATAGGATAAACCTACAGCTGGCAGCAACTGGTTCGACCTTCCGCAGACAGATTTGACACCAGAATTGAAAAGGGATTTACAATTGCTCAGAATGCGGTCGGTATTGGATCCCAAGAGACATTACAAGAAGGAAAACGGTAAAGCACAGCCGCCTAAATATTCTCAAGTGGGAACTATCATTGAAGGTCGAACCGAGTTCTTCAGTGGTCGTATTGCTAAGAAAGACCGCAAGAAAACTTTCGTGGAAGAAGTCCTAGACCAAGAGCGGTACAACAGGCGGTTTGAGTCTAAATACAGAGAAATACAGACCAGCAAGCAGAGTGGCAAGAAATCCTTTTACAAACATCTGCAAGCCAAGAGAAGAGCAAAAGGCAAGTGATAAGACCGATGCTACTCCTACATGGACAGTTCTGGAGGCCGTTATGTTGTAAGAATCTCTCTTGAACCAGTCCTGGCATGCTTTTAGGCATGGCAAAATGAAGGGTTCGCGATGAACTCGGCGAATCCGAGCAATTACCCCTCGTCTTCGAGCCACCCAAAGTGCAATTGCACATACTAATCGCTTCTGAACACACCCAATATAGTTCGCACCACAACAATCTGGTAGGCGTTAGTTTCAAGCATGATAAGGGGTATCATCTGGGCGCGAACCTGCATATCAATGGCTGCTGAACGACCAGCCTCGAGCACTTCCTCATGGTTTGCTTTGCCCTCCTGCAAAATAGCATCTAGTTCTTCAACACCCTTTCCTTGTAAAAGACGATCGTCTCCACGAGGAACGGGCGAGAGAACGGCACAGTTTGTTACCAAACTAAGTGCTAAGACTCTAATACCACAGTGTCTGGCGACAACAATTTCCGGTACAGTTGACATGCCAACCACATCTGCACCGAGTTTGTGAAGCATGCGGCATTCGGCCCTGGTCTCGTAACTGGTCTGCTTTAGAATACGATGCCTTGCAATGGGGTACAACCTGAGTACTTACCTGGGCCCTCCAACGAAAGCATACACACCCTCATGCAGCCTTCGTTGGCTTTCTGCATGCATCACCTCACCCCAAGCTGTATGCACGTGACGCCTAAGTTCGAGGTCGTAAGCATCGGACAGAGGGGGGAAACGAGGGCCGAACTCGTCGGCGTTCGGTCCTCGGAGTGGATGAGTGCCTGCCAAACCGGCCAGGAATATATGCTAAGTACCTATGTTAGATGGTATTTGGTGGGTCGGAAACTAGCGAAAGGAATAAACCCACATCATTCAGTAATACAATGTCGCCAACCGCATACTCTGAATTCAAACCCCCCGCAGCATTTGTCACTGTTAGTTAGATACGGCTGTTAGCCAAGTTGCATATACCAAATGAATTTAAACTTACACACTATGGTATCAACCCCTAGCAATTTGAAAACTCGAACAGGGAATGTCACTTGGTTGATGGAATGACCCTCGTAGTAGCTTTGAAGGACGCATTTGTAAGTTGGCCAGCTTTTCTTATGCACTAGTCCGGGAAACTTACTGGGCACGCCCAACCATCAAAACAACTGGTAACTGGTCATCCAGAAGGCCGAAGATAAGTTTTCCTGCATGTCCGGGAACTATCTGGTGAATGAGTATGTGGAACTCAATGTAGAGCTGGCTCGTTGCTCACCTGTTAGATGCGGGAAATGTGGGATAGAAGAATAATCAAACTCTGCCCGTGGCTCATCACGAATAGTATTTGCCAGGCCCCCCAAACCAGAGCCGCACACAATTGCAACTTTAGGATTTTGTAGGGAGACTGGTAAATTCTTCCTTAAAAAAGAAAACGCTTCGTGCACTCGTTCAGACGAACACAAGTCTTCCGATGGGCAAATCATCATTGGTCAAATACACAGCAAGTCCAGAATCTTCACACTGTCAAATCTATCTTGGAGCTAGGTATGGAATAGAAAAATGGGTGACCAGTGCCAAGAAGTGGTGGTGTACCAATCATGCGTAAGTGTTGTGACGGAGTATGCATAATCTTCCTCCTTTCTCTTCACTAATTCTTACTCTCTTCCTCCCACACTTCTACGATTATCTTTTTACATCCCGATTCCCATTTTTACCCTTCAAATGCATATATTGCCTTAGGCATCAGGTTCAGGGACTAGTAGTACTTGGTGCTACTAGTAGTATTAGAAGTACTCCGTAAGAGTACGAAGAAAGGCGGTAAGCAGTCAAGCGAATCATGATGGTAGCCTGAAATCTTCAAAAATCAGATGGAAGGGCAAGCCACAAGACACTATTGTAGCAGCATCTTTCAACTAACACTTCAGGCTAATTAAAATCAGACTTCCTACTTCTACTTCTTGTTCGATGTACTGAAATGTCATCGCTCTTCAACTCTCGTCTATTGGCAAGGACTGGCAAGCAATCGCTGGTATTACTTGCTTCACCTAGTACATCCCGAGTGACAATGCTAATAATTCGACTTTAGTTCGCAGTGCCCGCTCGCAGCATCACTTTGCCAAGTAGCCCAGATGTTATCGATAAATCAATCTCCAACGTACCCCAGAGCATAGCTGAAATATCACCGCTGTAAGTGGCTCCTGTATAGTATTTGACGCAAGCTCTGGCTGATTTTTCGAATGTCTCTAGCTCAACGAAACGGGACCAACAGCCTACATCATATATCAAAAATTGGTCAGTCATTACAAGCCCTTTTCAAGGATCAATCATTAGGAAAGACGTGCGCTTACCTTTGCAATAGGGCCGAGCGCCTGGACGGTATCAACTCTAAATCCCGGCTGCCACGAAGCGTGCAAGCGGTGTATTTGCGGCCTCTCCGAAGGAAAGCCGAATACGGATTGCCGGTTTGCGATCTTCAACTTCGGTCGTATAGCGTTCGAAATGTGGAGTTCTTCGCTGATTTCGCCGTGCGTGCCGCCTACTACTTAAAACTTCCTGTCTCCGGGCCTGTGCCTCTACCACGCATCGTTGAACGTTGGACATTCCCTCGAAGCAATTTCGTGCACAAGAAAAGCCAGGAAAATTTCGAGCGGATTACTCTTCGCCGACTGATCCAGATCAAGGATGGCAACCCTCAGGCTGTACAGACGTGGTTGGCATTCTTACGAAAGCATGCTTTCTATGGAGTAGGCATGAAAGCTAATGTTTGGGAACACGAGAGCCTTGGTACGCTAGAATCCTTCTACTCCGTTTTTGTCTCTTACTCTATAGTGCCCTAGAGTTTAGTAACTAACCCATGTCTACAGACGTGTTCAAGAATATTGATAACGCAGTCCCTGAGGTTGAACGGTCCCTGGAGTCTCATCTATCACACTTCGGTCAACGGGGTGGTGAAGGGACGCAGAGTTCGATACCTGATCTTCTGGGCGACATGCGACCTCCTAAACACAGAAGTCCACTAAGCAGCGTCCGCGAAGGCTGGAATTAAGCCAATAATTCCCTTGTATATTTTGCCGTTTGAGAGCTTCTCACGTCAATCTCTGTATTTCTATTTTTACCCTTAAGTATTAGTCGGATAGGTTTAGCACAACAAGACTTCTCAGCACATGTTGGTTGTATCATTTTGCACGGTAGGATTGCTTGGATCACAGTTTTTGTTTAATTAATATAAACATAGGATTCATATAATGTAGCAATGGCAACTTGTCTCACTGAAAGCAACACAAGAAGTAGTGAGTCACGTGTCAAACACATACATTGAACGGCTGTTTTAAGGGAACGTGGGACAAATGCGCACCAATGCATTCGATTTTTTTTTCCCAATTCTCCAAGGTAGCCACTGGACATGCATGTCAGCCGCTATGCATCGTACAGCCCAAGCGCTCATAGAGCAACAAATGCCCTCTTGCAGATGAGGGATATTAAGTTCAATATGAAAGGTCATCTCCGAAGATGGGGTAGCTCAGTCACAGCGCAGCCATCACCAATATCATCTAGTCAGACCATATTCTCTGGGATCCAACCAACTGGAGTGCCGCACTTGGGGAATTACTTAGGTGCTTTGCGTGAATGGGTCAGGCTACAAGATAATGCTACCGAGGGGACGAGATTATTTTACTCCATCGTCGACTTGCATGCCTTAACTGTACCACAAGATAGTTGTCAGTTGAAGAAATGGCGGAGGGAGGCGTTTGCGACACTGCTCGCTGTAGGCTTGAATCCCGATCGCTCAACCATTTTTTACCAGTCGGCTGTACGTCCGTTATGCTCTACTGGAACCCAATGCTCTACACTCCCATCCTAAGCGCTCCCATTAACTATGGCCAGGTTCCTGCTCATACTGAATTATATTGGATCCTGAGTACGGTAGCTTCTATGGGATACCTATCACGGATGACTCAATGGAAGGTGAGCAATAGTGAGCATTGAAACTTGAGGCGCAATTTGTCTTAGAAAGCAAACAGATGTAAATCTTGGATATGGACCTTGAAGTTGACTACGTATAGAGCAAGTTGCAACTGCCAGAAAGCACAAGCCTGGAGCATTCAGCTGCCAGGTCTAAGCTACGGCTTGGCTTATTTTCTTACCCTGTACTGCAGGCAGCGGACATCTTAGTACACAGGTTCGGTAGCTAATTACAAAAGGTGAAGCTGTACTGACACGGGCTAGGGCTACTCATGTTCCTGTTGGAGAGGATCAAAGACAGCATCTTGAGTTTTCTAGGTATACTGCTAATAGTTTTAACCACCTCTACGGCCATATCTTCCCGTCTCCAGAGGCACTCATCTGTAAGCCTCCTACGCACTAACCAGGAATGAACCTTAGAACCGCGCTGACTGATACAGCACCGGCGAAGCGAGTTATGTCTCTCAAAGAGCCCACTTTGAAAATGTCCAAATCGCATGCCGACAGCCGGTCGAGGATCCTCCTCACTGATTCACCTGATGATATTCATAGGAAAGTTAGAGCTGCTCTAACTGACTCGGACGCAAGCATAACCTATGATCCTGTCCGCCGGCCGGGCGTGTCTAACCTTATAGAAATTCTAAGCCATCTCGACGGAAGATCCTGCGACGACTTATCTTTGGAGTACAAATCGGCGAGCCTTCTGGCTCTGAAAGAAGATCTGGCAAGTCGAATCTCGGATCACCTGCAAGGAATAAGAGAGCGGTACTATTCGCTCATAGAAGACAACTCTGGTTATCTGGATACTGTCACAGAGCAAGGTGCCCAGGCTGCACGTGCCAATGCCGATGTGACTATGAAACAGATTAGAAAAGCCATGGGGCTGTGAGGGCTATTCATCCTTCCTATCAGGGCTTTCATGACTATACATGGCCTTTGTTATTCCCAATGAGCAGTGAATGGTCCCGATCAAGGCGATAGGGCCAGCATTTGCGTATACGTACATATCATGTATCTATCCTGTACTATAATTTCTTCAGACTATCCCTAACCTTACATGGTAGTTACTCGGCCATATAAAAGTGAAAGTCGGAGTCGCCTCCCTATGTAGGGTAATAGTGGATTCACCCAGGTAATTGTTGCCCAAGTTAGGCAACATAATAACATGCGTGGCACACGAATGATAATACAAAAATTACATCTCGATTTCAGAATCCAAGTAGAATGAGGCCTTGGCTAGAACGATGTTCGTTAATATCTTGGGTATGGTATACAATAGGATGTTGCCTGATTTGTGGTAAAGTTTATCTAAACGTCCCGAGACCTCCGATAACACGGAGATGGGCTGACTCCCGAGCCAGCCGATTTCCCGGCAATGCCGCAAACTGTACTCCGTACTTCGTTCCGGAAGCCCTACGTCAGTCTTCTGGCTTTCTCTTAAGCCTGTGCCTGAAACATATTACACGATAGGAGAGTCTAGAAGTAACAATGGCCATATACCTAAGAGCAACTAATAGTATCTAGTATATAAGCCTAGTCAGTTTACGTAGGTACCGGTAGAGAATTTTCAATCTTATAGCCTAGCGCCTTGCAGAAGGCACTGTAGCAGACGCAGAAACTTAGCATTATTAGTCCTAGTACATTATGAATGATGATGATGATGACGACTACAAGCGTCACATTCGCATAGTCCCATTGGATTATTGATTGCAAGCCCCACTCCGACTTAGCCGAGGCGGTCTGAGTGGAGTCTTGCACGATCTATAGTCGAGCAATCAACAGTACCAGACCGCATGCAGCGTACGACATCAGTTCCAAAGATTAGTGCTTTCCGTTACCATACAAGAACGCAGCCATGTCCCTATCAGCTATTGTACATCAGCGCTTCCCTTTAGGCCGTATATACCTTCTCTTTTTTCAAAATTCTTTTCACCCTTTTTGATCTCATTGTCCAAACGAGAGATCGACTATTATTGTCTTTCAAGGTACAGTGAGTGGGCCGAAAGAGCTTTGTGCTCATTTCCCAGTTCAGTGGCCTTGGTGAATCAAGATTTATGCGACAAGAAGACCTGGGGCCTTCTTTCATGGGACCCGAGTAAGAAAAAAAAAAAGAATAAGGGAGATAGCACGATGCAAAAGTCCTGGCTTGTTTTGCTCGCTACTTTCCTTGGCTTGCAAGGGACAACAGCGCTGACACTCCACCGAAGAGAGCTTCCGGCCGTTGTCTCGTTGGATATCAAACGAAATAATGCTGTTGACCCTGTGGCTAGAGATCGGATGAGACGGAAGCGCGACAAGACCGTTGAACAGAATCTTGATAATGAGGTATGTCGGCCAGAACATTGAATCGATATATGGCCGCTAATCTGCGACATAGGAAACTTTATATTTCTGTAACATAACTCTGGGCACACCAAAGCAAAGCCTACGGTTAGTTCTTGATACAGGAAGCAGTGACCTCTGGTGTAATGCAGCGAATTCGACACTTTGCTCATCTAGAGATAAACCCTGCAATGCCTCAGGGTCTTACGACCCAACTTCATCTTCGTCATATGCCTATGCATCTTCGGACTTCAACATATCGTATGCTGATGGCACTGGAGCCGCCGGTGATTATGTTACCGACACTATCCACATTGGAGGTGCTACTGTCAAGGACTTCCAGTTTGGGGTGGGTTACTCGTCTAGCTCCGCCGGTAGGTCGATGCCATCCTTCTCTACGGTATATAAGCAAATTTGTGTTGTTGACTAACCTTGCTCTATCCAGAGGGTGTTTTGGGAATAGGATACACAACGAACGAAGTCCAGGTTGGCCGGTTCGGTAAAAGTGCCTACGCAAATCTTCCTCAAGCCATGGTCAAAAACGGTCTAATTCAGTCGAATGCTTATAGCCTTTGGCTTAATGACCTGGGAGCAGATACTGGCTCGATTTTATTTGGAGGCGTTAATACGGAGAAGTATCATGGAGAACTGCAAACTTTGCCGATTCAGACGGTCAATGGGATCTATTCTGAGTTCATAATCGCACTAACCGGTGTCTCATTGAGCTCATCATCAAGTCAGCATAATTACTCATCTTCTGATGCTCTCCCAGCCGCGGTCCTGCTTGACTCGGGAAGTTCTCTGACCTATCTTCCAAATTCCATTGTGCAAGACATCTATGATGATCTGGGTGTCACTTATGAGTCATCCAGCGGTGTTGGCTATGTGCCATGTAGCCTGGCACAGCAAAATATTAATGTGACCTACACCTTTTCGTCTCCTACTATTACAGTTGGGATTGATGAACTCGTTCTAAATGCAGGTGATCTGCGATTTCGGAATGGCGCGCGTGCATGCATTTTTGGCATTGTACCAGCCGGAGATAGCACTGCTGTCCTGGGGGATACGTTCTTACGCAGTGCATATGTTGTATACGATCTATCCAACAATGAAATCTCCCTCGCCAATACCAATTTCAACTCTACTCAGGATAATATCTTGGAAATTGGAACTGGCGACGATTCCGTCCCTGGGGCCACCCAGGTTTCAAATCCCGTCACATCAGTTGTGGCCGATGGGTCTGGGGCCAGGATCGGGGGTCCAACTGGTGGGATCTTTACTGATCTGCCTTCAGCAACAAGTACCGGCGGCGCTGCAGCACCTGCCGGGCCAACAGATGTTCCAAAGCACTTGGTTTTTGGTGCAGCGGCTATTGGTTACGTGCTCGCTTTTTGATGTAGATGACTTTTCACCAGCAAATATCTTGTGTTCTTGCATAATTTTTTCTGCTTGTTAAAGCCCACTGGCTGCATACTACCTGGTGATACCCTAGATCTTAGCTCTCTTTCTTTTCTGCCCTCCGCTTTCCTTTTTTTGAACCCTACCGTGTCTTGTGATCTTGTCGACACTTTTTTCTCCTCAGTAGGGTTGACGATTCGCCTGTATGTATTCGATGGATATCTATATCTATATATATATCGAACATTCCATACATATCTGATCTACTCCTAATATATCGTGACTGCTCCGCCCTGTAGTCAAGGCACTACAAGCTTTCTATACTTCATTCGTTCCCCACTTTTCCCCATTCAAAGGTTTCGGCTCCCTAACTGCCTTCCCACACCAAGAACAAGAACATTGCTAACAAAGACTTTTCCGGACTTCAACACCGGATCATGTGCCAATGCCACGTATTTCTAACCTAACCATCCTAAGGGCCTACCAGCAGAATCCACTCCTACCGTTATTACTCCGAGAATGTCGATCGCATGACTCTGCAAAGAATGAACTTCGCTGGCTCCAGGAGAGGGCCAGTCGCTCGATTTCGGCCAAACAGGTTGCGCGGTCTACGCTTGCCCCCTTGGGATGGAGAAGGCTCCTTAGATCAATGTGCCATGCTCGATCGAAAGGAATGCCCCTGCAGTATATCCTAGGCGATCAGCCCTTCGGCGAGCTCGACATTCTGTGTGAAAAGGGTGTACTGATTCCAAGGTATACCCACTGCCTATTTTTGCTCTCATGATGTTTCCAACAAAACCTCAATATATCTAATGCGTCGATTTCCCTCCAGAGCAGAGCAGAAACAGAGACATTCACTATACAAGCTGCCAAATTGATCTTGAACAACATTCAGAGGCATGGGCGTCGTGAAATTGGTCAACATCAACGTTCCTTCCGTATAGTTGATCTCTGTACAGGTAGTGGTTGCATAGCGCTACTCCTACATGCGCTCCTTGCCCCTCATATTGATCAGCTTTCAATACTCGGGGTTGATCTTAGCCCTGCAGCTATTGCACTAGCCAACAAGAACCTTACACACAATGTTCAACAAGGTCTGCTTTCAAATCGTGCTGCAACTGAGATTTCTTTCCAGCGCGGTAACGTTCTCCCCCATGACAGCAGTGGGCCCCCTCCGGCAAGGGAAGTGCTGTGCAATTACCAAGGGCTTCCCTCTGATATGGAGCCAGAATGTGACGTGCTCATCTCAAACCCGCCATATATATCTCCTGAATCATTTCGAAATGGTACTACCTCACGTAGTGTCCGGGTTTTTGAACCAAAGCTTGCACTGGTTCCTCCGCCCGGAGACTCTATTATTGGACCAACACTTGACAGACAGGAGGACCTTTTCTACTACCACATTATTTTGCTATCGTTTCAGGTTCGTACAAAGCTTTTGGTGCTTGAGTGCGGCGACCACTCACAAGCTACGCGGGTAGCTGCTATAGTCAAAACATTGTCCAGAGGCTATCGGCTGAATGCCCTGTCCATCGAGGTCTGGTCTAGTTCTGGCACATTTATTGGTGACGAAACACCCCCCGAGAATGGGCCCTGTGCAGTTGTTGTGACAACCATTCAATAGATGATTATATTGGTGCTATCTATCTAGAATTCTAAGTATAGGAAAAAAAAAAAACTTTAGTGGCGGTGTCAAGACATCTACTAAACTACTATCTAGTATGGAAGAAATGTTAAGTGTTAACTAGATAGGCAAGACAAGGACCAAAGGTTAAGACAGGCAGTAGATACTAGAGACAGAAAAACTAATTCTTATACATTTACTGATAATAATTATTATTAGATCCTCCTGTAATCTCTAATATGGTTGTGATTTTAGACAATTGTAAGATTTATATTAGGCTGAGCGAGGTCTCTAAAAGTCTTATGAGCTATTAATAGAGTCGTTTGTTGGGTTTGGGTTCAAGATCTAGGACGCACCCCCGACCCAGCCCCAGGTTGGGTTTCCTATATGGTAACCTGTACCCGTCTCACCGCCGACCCCCATTATCAGTAGGGGGTCGGCTACAGCTTAATATTATTCCCAGCTTAATATTATTTTTTCTATATAGCTCAATAAAAATATTATAAAATTATTATTTCTATGTATATAAAGCTATAAAAGAGTCCTTCTATATATCTATAATATATAGATTTTCAGATATCCTATATTTCAGGCTTAATAAGGTTAGTATTAGAATTAGGCTGCGGCAAATCCGCTCTATTGGATGTCAAAGTCACATCCGTATCCGCAGATTGCGGATATTAGATACCACTTCATCCGTATCCAACTTTTAGATATCTACTAAACCTAATAATTATCTATATTAATATAAAATTTATTAATTTAACTTATTTTAATACTTTATATAATTCTCTTACAGTTAACTAAATACTCTTTTTTCTATTATATTATAAATATATTAGTATATTATAATCATTTATAAGTGAATTACTATTAAAGATATATATTTTAGTATATAAAAATTAATATAGATTCTATAGAAAACAACTATTAAAAAATAAATCTATTTAATTTATAATAACCCAGCTAAATCTTTTTGAATATAAAATCTTTAAAATTTAAGAATTTAAAAATATAATTTAATTAGTAGATTATAATATAAAGGTATAGTAAAAATATAATATATTTATTAAAATTATTAGACTTAGTAATTTTTAATTTACTTTTATATAGATATTAGTTAAATATGTTTTAAATATCTAACAGATATTAATAAATATTTAATTTGGTATTGTCAGCTGCCCTAATCCTAAAGCGGAATAGTCTTAGGGCTGGCTTAGAGGATATAAAAATAGAATAATAATATAGATTGAATGACTAGATAAGATAGAATAGGCTTGAAGAGATCAAAAGAATAAATAGGAAATCTGACTATCTGATAATCAGATAGTTGGTTGATAATCTGCTTGAATCAAAAAGATTATTTAGTAGATACTTTTAGGCCTAATTTATAAACAATTTTTAGGTCTTGTTTTTAGTGAATAATTTTAAATTAATATAGAATTAGTAAATTTGTTATTATAACTAATTCTGACTAATTCTTAATTTCTAATAATTTCTAATAATTTATAATAAATTATTAGAAATTATTTAAAGTTATAAATTATAGATCTCTTCTAGATTTTAATTAAAAATAAGATTTTAATCTAGTCTAAAATAGGTAATACTATAAAAGCTTTCTAGAATATTTTCTAAGTAGGAAATATCCTTTCTATTTCACTCAGTATTACCTAGTATAGAAATATTCTAGAAGAAATCTAGAATATTTTTTAAATAGGAAATTTTACTCTGATATTAATATTTTATTTTTTAATTATATATAGATTATAGTTATCTAAACTATATTTGATAATTAAATATTTTTTTAATTTTTTTAATCTAATTATTTTAATAAATATTTAATTTCTATTTTTTTAAATTTTTAATTACATAATATATTTTATTTTCTCTTTTATTTTATTACTATATCTCGATTTTAGTATTTAAAAAATCAATACTCAGTATTTTAATATATTAAAATTTTTATTAATCTAAATATTGTATAATTAGATAATTTTTTAATTTTTTAAACTAAATTATACTATAATAATTTTCTTAAATATTCTTTTCTACTTATATAATTTTATTTTATTTTTGTAAGAGATATCGCCAGGGCCCGATATTCCACAAGACCAAAAGATCAAATAATTCTGGATCAACGATCCAGAATGCCCTGGTCAGACCTATATAGCTTTCCACCGTTACAACTATAGAAAAGTTTTATTAAATAATAATTAAAAATAAAGTTTAATAAAAAAAAAGTTATAAAAAATAATTTAATAGTAAATTAAATAAAAAATACTTAATATTTAATAGAATTACTTTAATTAAATTATATATAAACAAATTAGTTAATTTATAATAATATATAAATACTATTGAACTATTTTTATTTACTTAAATTTTTATTAGATAGAGATATCTCTAATGAAAATATATCTAAAAAATAATATATATATAAAAACTTTAGATTTAAAAAAATAGAGTATTAATTAATTTTTTAATAAAAGATTTTTAAATTTATAATTATTATTTAATTTCTATCTTAAATTATT